ATATTTATTTATGTCAACATATCGTAAAAATATATCTTTTAAACACATACTTATTTCCCTTTTATTTATAATTTCAGATGTACACGCAAGAATGACAAAGCATGCACAGGGGCTGATAAAGTTGGAGAGAATCGTTGGTTGAATAATCTGGACCAATGTATCCAGATTAGCAAGATTGAGCCGGCTAATTTGCCAAGCAATATGCAAATTGAGGTATGTGTCTGTAAAATATTTACTTCTATTTAATAATATGATTTATATAGGACATGTTAAGCATGTTTATGAGAGAACAAGTTTTATATATAGAGATAATTTAAGAGGCTGTAAGGGAAGTGTAAAAAACATCATAGTAAATAATGTTTTTAGTAATATAACCAATTAGATACAATTGCCACCACCACTCTCTTTTTTAATGTGCAGTTGGAAGTCGTTAGATTACTATCTAGACAATCAAATACGAGACACGTTTACTGAATGGCTGTGGAAGATATATCAACTTGCACAGCTAAAATACAAATGTTATATCAAAAAATTCTCCTTCAAAGAGGCTTGGTTGATCGATGCGTTAATGTGTGTTGACACGCTTGTCAGGTAATCACAGTTTACTCGCAAATCTCGCACTGTTACACGAAGTATAATACTAGTATCGATCAAATAAGGCACAGATAAACAGAATACTATAGCGTTATTCTTAATTGCTGTTGCTGTTAAACTCAAAATGACTGGTTGATGTGCCTTGTAGTATTCGTTATTTTGGGTTTATTGTCGCCTAAATCGTTTTCCAAATGTTTTCATTTCAATCGCCTACAAATTCATATTAGTCCTAGATTCCTAAAGAAACATGTAGTATTTACTGAAATAACCATTTAACGTAATATAACACAATGGAAAACCTTTCTATTGTTACTCAAGCTGGTTTAGTGTATTTGATTTCATTAAATTTGTTGCAATTTTTTGATCTAGTTCTGCTGCAATGTAGGTATCTCTGCTACTATTAAAGGGAGCTAGAGTGGTGCTGTTGCTTGGGGGTTACCTTTCATTCCCAGGGTCCTAGGCTCAAATCTCATAACTAGTTTATTATGAGACTTGTTAGAAAAATACTTTCCTGTAATGAGGAAATAACTCACTGTTGAATAACAATAAATTTAAATTAAATAAAATATATTTAATTTAATAATTATTTCTATCCATCATTTTAATAATATTGTTTTGTTTATGTTAAAAAGGTGTTATATCCATCGTATGCTTACTATAAACTTAAAAAATGTTCAAATGCAAAAAACAAAACATATTTTGTTGACATTTATAAAAGTCAATTAATAATATGTAATTATATGTAGTACATAATATACTAGATTTAAGTGATTGAAAAACGCTAGTAAAAATAATAGATCTTGTATGTACTTACTTGCAGACGTCATCCATTAAATTGATTGCAAATTTTTATCATTTCTTTTAGGATGATTGATGATTCATTAAAATCTGAATAATCTTGTTTAAAACCCATTGCTTCTAGAATCAACCCAGAAACCTTTTACTAGAATTATACAGAGAGTTAGTAGTTATTTGTTCCTGGAAATTACATTAGCAGGGGGATGGCTTGGACAGACATATGACATCCAAAAATATACCAAAACACTTTGGCATTTGGAAGTTTGCTGGTCGGACTTTATTAAAACTAAATATACAGTATTTATACTTGCCATTGGAAACAAAATAATCTAAAAAATAGAAAAGTATAGAGGATATCGAGAACAGGTGCAGGCACTTCTAAATGACACATACTCATTCAATGCCACAACATCCTATGGTAGCAATTTATAGCAGTGTAGAAGCCCGTATAAGTGGTTTGACGCAGTGCTAATGATTTGGTTTCCCAACCTCGATGTCTGGATTTCAATGGACCTTTCCACTTAGCTCCGCCCTTGGATATTATTGCTAAGGTCCCACAAAACGACAGTGTAAAAACATAGGCAAACATGTGCGTTTGTAGGACAACATGTGTGTTTGTTAGACATGCGCACTGTTCTGATTGGTCAGTTGTTAAGTTTGATTGACACTCCGGGAACTTACTATGCAGTTTGCCTGTGTTCTTGAGCAAAGCACATTATATCATCAGCATTGGTTCTCTTCACCCAGGGTACATGTGGGTACCTGATAATGTTACCTGGTACTACGATGATATTGCAGCAACACTACCACAACAACTAGGGATTAAAATAGCACTTCGTACGCGAAAGGTCAGGCACTAAAAAATAGCTTTCAAGAAATTTCATTGCTGTGTGCAGAATGAGATATTAATTCTTGGAGGAACTTCATCTAGTCTTTAGTTAAATTAGTATACTGTAATTGGTTCTTCAATATATAGACTAAAAGCTTAAGTTATACATTCCAGTCATTTGATAATGGTAGCTGTCAGCGACCGAAATTGTCATGCAAGTTTCAAAACTCTATATATTGAAGAACCATTTACAGTTGGGATATAAATTGTTGTTAATAAGTTTTTACAAAGGTTAAATACAAAAATTACATCATATTAACTGGTTTTTCTTTAGTGTTAGTCTAGATGATTACTTGGGTTAAGAAATTAAGGGTGCGTTCGGGCGAGTTTTTTTTGGTGTTGAACACGGAGTAAAAGCGGTAACAGCAATTTCTAGTTTTCGCCCGAACGGGTGTTAATCGTGGACCGTCAGCTGATATTCGCCGATAACCCAACGCTGCAAATTGCAGTGTTCTGGAGGATTAAAACTGGCCTATTTGCGCATGCGTTAGCAGCAGGGAGCATTTAATCCTATTTTGATTGCTCTTTAATTGTTTCGGCACGCACCAGAGCTAAAGTTTGTTTACATTTTAATTCTCCCGATTCTTTTTACAGTTATTTTCCAAAAACAAAACCGAAAAGCTTGATAAAATAATATTTTCAACAGAGGGCTAGCCTAGAATCCAGATTGTTAATTACTCGCGTCCGCTTGCATACCGATCATCATCATGGGGCTACTGCTTATTTGTTTGACAGTGGTAGTTATTTTCTGTTTTTATAAACAATTATTTGAAAGTTTATTCATAGTATACCCACGCCCAAAAATGGTTGTGACAACTGCCGTTAGTTGGTAAAAATTCACCATTTTGAAATGGCAGTCGAAAATATGTCAAGTATTATTATTAATTACTGTATTATAAATTACGTTCGGGAGAATCGGGAAATGGATCGCGCGTTTTTTGTTTTTTTGTTTTTTTTGAGAGAGAGACAGAGAGAGAGAGAGAGGCTAGAGGGCTGAGCGAGGAGGTATAAAAGGGGATTGTGGGATAGAAACTTGCATTTACATATTGACCCTAGGTTGTACATCCGAGGTTAATGGTTTTTCAAAAGCGGTGTTGTGTTGGAGTTGTGCACGAACGGGTAGACCACCCGCGGATACTTTTACCGGTAAGAAACTAGTAAAGGTTTTCCGGTTCTCGCCCGAACGCACCCTAAGACAGATGCGACCTTAACTGTACCTTTTATAATTGGATTAAAGTACTATAAAATGTTATTACTATTTAAACTTTTTATTGATCATTATAGACTTAATTCAAATAACCTACATAAATTATCTGATTTATTGTACTATATATTTCATATTTACATATTATGTGTATACTTTCATATAATGTTAGGCCTATATATTTCCATAGTCAAAGTTTGTTTACATTTTAATTCTCCCGATTCTTTTTACAGTTATTTTCCAAAAACAAAACTGAAAAGCTCGATAAAATAATATTTTCAACGGAGGGCTAGCCTAGAATCCAGATTGTTAATTACTCGCATCCGCTTGCATACCGATCATCATCATGGGGCCACTGCTTATTTGTTTGACAATGGTAGTAATTTTCTGTTTTTATAAACAATTATTTGAAAGTTTATTCATAGTATACCCACGCCCAAAAGGCACACCTACTGCTATTTATTAATTACTGTATTATAAATTACGTTCGGGAGAATCAGGAAATGGATCGCGCGTTTTTTTTTTTTGAGAGAGAGAGGCTAGAGGGCCGAGCGAGGAGGCATAAAAGGGGATTATGGGATAGAAACTGGCATTTACATATTGACCCTAGGTTGTACATCCGAGGTTAATGGTTTTTCGAAAGCGGTGTTGTGTTGGAGTTGTGCATGAACAGGTAAACCACCCGCGGATACTTTTACCGGTAAGAAACTAGTAAAGGTTTTCCGGTTCTCGCCCGAACGCACCCTAAGACAGATGCGACCTTAACTGTACCTTTTATAATTGGATTAAAGTACTATAAAATGTTATTACTATTTAAACTTTTTATTGATCATTATAGACTTAATTCAAATAACCTACATAAATTATCTGATTTATTGTACTATATATTTCATATTTACATATTATGTGTATACTTTCATATAATGTTAGGCCTATATATTTCCATAGTCACTTGATAATTATGAGATCCCTTGCAATAATATTTTATATTACAATCATTTAATATTTAATATTTTATTTTTCTAAATGATATATATTTTATCTTTTGTGTTGTTTTCTGTGTGTTGAGTGCTGCCTTAGAGAACCACATGATAGTGACACTTTTGTGTACTTTTTGTTATCCTGGGTTGGCAGCACTCTTTGTTTTTGTTTCTGTTTTTTATTGTCTTTTTATAGTAATTTTGATTGTAATTGTAACCCGAAGTAAATTTGAAATTTAAAAATTTGAAATTAGTACTTATTTTATATAATGTTAATATTTGTTTTTGAATATCAACTTATTTTCTTTTATTATAGTTATAATGTAAATCGGACTAAATATTTATCACTGAACCTTTGTTAAAATTTAGTGAAGAATGAATTCCAACAGTACAGATTAATTTGATATTAAGCCAGTTGCAGTTTAAAAGATGACCTGTTAATATTGCCAAATATAATTCTGTGACCTCGTGAGATTACTTGCAAAGATATTTGTCATTAAGTGGAGCCCAATTGCCTAGTAGCCTAGCCATGATTTCCTTACTGTTAAAGTCCTTGTGTTCAGCCAAGAGTATCTAATATTAAGGTAGCCTAGCTGACTAGGTTTTTTCATTTAAAGTTGCAAGTGAGGAGGCCAGCTTCTTGCATGGTTCAAGATCATTTAGAATTTAAAATAGAACAATACTTGAAAACGATTTCCAGGAAAAGATTTCTAGTCTATCCTCTCACTTTACTCACGTAGTTGAGAAGAGTTCAGTCCCCTGAAAAGTACAAATTAAAAAATGTGAGATTAACCCCTATGAAAAGGAAGGTTATGTCAACAATTGTAACATTTTAGGCTGCTTTATTTCATGTCTACCACCAGCAAAATTATTTTTAAAAATTGAATTTCCACCATTCATGCCTGTTGTGATTAATGTGCAGGCATCATAGTAGTAGTTGGCCTACATCAAGTCTACCAATTATCATATCTATAACATTTTTCCAAAGAGCTGCTAAGTGAAACAACAAGTTCCATACTACACTGAATAATTTACCAAGGAAGTCTGAAAAAAATGCTCTGTATGAAATTATGATCTGTTTATGGTCTTGGACTGGTGAATTTCATGCATGACCAGTCATCCTTGATTGAAATTGCTTAGTTATGTAGAAGGGAAGATTTGACTTGATGATCAAACGAGCATTGTCTCATCCTAAAATGATACAGCATCTTGTTTTTATGCCGTTTTTCCTTGAACAAGTAATAAATTATTTCCCGGAGCAGATCCTATAGGCTAACAAATTTCCTAACATTAGTTGATGTTAAGGTGAGTGAGGAGAGCAAGGATGAACGTGGGTGAACGTAGGGTGAACTATGTGAATGCTGTTGATTGGATAAATGTTTAGGTTGCGAGTGCAAGTCATTTTCATTGGCAGTTAACTTGTAGTTTGGACACCATTTGTGTATTTATCATTGAGTTTGTGGTTGTATGAAAATTCTATATTAGCTTTTGAATTAAAAGAAGAGTGATATAAAGAAATAATAATAATATAGATATTTATACCGCGCCTTTTACCGAAGGGATACGAGGCACTGGCGATGCTGTTATTATTACCCCTGGTTATCGGATCTATGATCAAACCAGCACATAAGTGCAACCTCCTCCACTCTCTGAGGCGTATTCCTAGTCGTACGTCCAATTTAATGCTGATACAAATACTTGCAATGCCACATCATCCAACCGCTTTTTTAATGAGTGCCCAGACAGCCTGCCCGCATTGCAACTGCATTTTTGCTTTTACGAAAATCGTTTTTCGCGGCTGAAATTACGTCACCATTTTGTTTATACAACAACAGTATAGTTTCTTTCTCACCAAGACAATACATTTCACATGAATTCCGGTCATGATGACAAGGAGGATACGATGTGCGGCGAGAAAGCGAATGCTTTCGGCTGTGCTCATCAACACAACGAACGAGCGAACCAACAAGGACAACGGTAGGCCCAGAAGAGTGGAGAGGCCTAGGCTAGGCCTACTGTAGGTCAATACCCCCCTCCCCCGACATTATTACAAAACAAGTAATTTCTTTGCTCCACTTGTTTGTTGACATTTTAGCTTGTAGGCCTAGGACATGTACAAAAGGACTAATCACGATCTAGCTTTGCAGTGGTTTGACCTGGAGGTCACATTTCACTTGATAATCGCTTTTTGTGTTGTAACTAAAAAGTGCACAGCCAAAATCGGTTATTTGCCGTTCAAACATGCTATCCATTGCGTGTTTCTAATCAATTTTTTTTAATTGCATTTTTTGAACTGGTCCCGTTTCTACTGCGAGAAAATAAGCGATTTTTTAAAAAGCAATTTTTTTAATCGATCTTTTTTTTCCAGTAGAAACAGGCCCTATAGATCTAATCTTGGTAAATGTCAAGGTTTCTCCTACAATCAAGAGCAGGTCCACTCTCCAAGCCCCAGAGACTTGGTTTATATAGAGCATCAGTGTCCCAAATGATTAGTTAGATTGTTGAACTTATTCATGCAGTTGCCATTTGCATGTGTTTCTATTGTATTCATTCTATATCTGTATATAAATTGAAAAAATACTGCAATTGGACTCACTGCACTCACACTGAAGCACAGTAACTGTGAAACAATCAGATTATCTTTGGAAAAGTAAAGAAACATTATCAAAAGAAGCATTTTCATTCTCCCCAATTCTAATGCAGATTGCAGCTAGTTTATGTCCAGAATTTGTTTGAGATTGGGAAACAATGTTTACAGATTTTTTGAAGAAATGCATAGATTGTTTAGACTCGGATATGAATTTAAAATGTGAATATAATTCCAACACACAGCATGTAACCTAGATGTTACAACTCATAATAAGGTTATTGCCCATCGGCAGATATTTGCAAAATGTGTGAACGTGCAATTCCTTATCGACTTCCGTTTTTACCATACCCACTGTTACATTTCAAGAACTTTGCAGGTTTTCACCAAGGTCATAACACTCTGCAATAATCATTAGATATATTGATAAGAACATTTTAACAGCCTGCTCAGTGATTCATATACTACAGGCTTTACTTTTTTTCTTTGCCTGCTGGCAATTAATTTTATCGCGAGTGTAACAACATGTCGGGATCTCCTGAAACGGATTACTCTTCTATTATGATTTGATTCCGAAGTCTCAAAATGATCACATTAAATGCTTTGATATTTTTCAGTTAACGATGACCGTCAGGAGCCTTCCAAAAGCACCAGTTGAAACATATTCCTGCGTCTTCGAAAATATTCTAACAACTCCGGTTATCTCTATCGACAATTCAACTATACCCCCTACCTTAAAATGCAAAACACCCCCACAAGAGGATATCCAGTCTGGAGGTTAGTAATGTATTTTTTTTCTAATAATAAAATAATATGATTTTTCTAATAATATAATATGTATTGTTTACATATCCATTTCAGAAGTAATAAAATAATTTTTTTCTGTTTCCAAACCAAAGACCAATTGCCATTTGTTGCTTTACTGATTAAGCTATGAAGACAAGCTAATAAACATCCTTGTAATTATATATTTCTTTATTAATAATAGGTCTAAAAATTAATGTATTTCCTTCTTACATGAAGCTGTAGTGGTTTGTTTGCTTTCCTTCTAACCCATAGTCCTGTTTTCAATTCTGTTAATGTCTTTCCATCTCAACAAAACAACACTCTGGAAGCCTAATAATGGGACTAAATTTGAATAAAGATCAATATCTTATATATATATATATTTAAAATATAAAATAAAGATTTTTGAAGTTTATATGCTATTTGATGAAATGTAAGGAAATTATATAAAAATAAGAATGCTAATAGTGTAATTTTGTTGTGGACGAATGCATAATATTTCAAGTAACAACATTATGTCTATGGTGTAATAATATAAGTTAACAGTAAGTGACATGGCATGCCTAAATATGGTCATGATGGCATCTCACCATGACCATATATAGGCACATCGTGACTATATTTGGGCATATATAACAGTTTGTCAAAGAAAATTTGATAATCCGTACAAGAGCCTCAGAGTGTGTGGTCCATCATTGAATTTTTATCAAAGTGCTGTAGTTGATGAAGAACGACATTAGTGGCAAATGTAGTACTAATGAATTTACGCAAATGAGTATATCAACAGATATTTATTCAACAACAACAAAACGGATCACAAACCGACATCAAGGGGCAGTACTTGAATTTTTAAGATGTAATGTCTTTACTAAACTGTATCAATAAAATTTAATATTTGAATTCCTGAATCCCATATTTAAATGAATTATTAGCATTAAGTAGGTGTAATTTTTTCTTATATATATATTTATATATTTATTTGTAAACCAACGATTTCAGCTTACAGGCTGCCTAAATAAAATCTAGAACATGAAACTATTTTCCTTGCTAAGGCGAGACTTATTTTCATACATTATTTAGTGAACTTCCTGCCCACCAGTAATGATGATTTCAAAATAAAAATAACTTTTTATTTTTGGCCAACTAGCACACCCACTGCCACTAAAAATGGAAATTTCATTTTTCGCCTGCCGTTGCCTTGAAATCCCCAAAAATAAGATGTGTATATTTCTCCCTAATTACATAAATTTAAAGCAAACCTTCCCACTACTACACTGGTTACATTCACCAATAAACATTTTTTATTCTCTCCTCCGTCTCAATGTTTTTGGATATTTTTTGTTTTTATTTTTTTCCTCCCTCCTCTGACAATCTTTAAAAAATTGAGTTTGTGAAACACATAAATAGTACTGAAAATTTTTTAGTGAAGTCTGTAAAACAAATATATAATTGTTGATTGCATGTATTGTTTGATAACTTGCTTCATATTTTGAATTTGATTTTTGTTTACTAGGGTCTCTGGAGGTTAAACTGTCCCTACTATCAAATGAGACCAACATGGAGTTTGTCAGCAGTAAATTTGTCTTCTACGACTGCAGCGCATTCAAGGATTGCACTAGTTGCGTGTCAAGTAACTTTGCCTGTGATTGGTGCATTTATGAGAATAAATGTACAGGCAATTCCCAACAGTGTAAACTACAAGGGGTGGTTGGCGGACAAGGGGTATGTATCAAAAATAGCGCCGTCATTGTTGCGACAAAGCTAGGCATAAATTTAAAATGGTGAATTTAGTTAGGTTTGCGGTGCTTTTTTTCTGCGCTGGATGGAAATGATGTGGCCATTTATTGAACATGGATTATCCTTTGTAAATTTGAATCAGAAATTCATAGCTAAAATAATTGGTTATCTGTGAAGATATAATGTCAAATGTTAAAGATTCACGAGGTATGATCCCAGTTCAAAATGCCATAACGTTATCTATTAAAATTTTTGGTGCCACTTGGTTTTGGAATTATTATGTGAGGTTGGGTTACGCTTAAAAATGCAATGGGGGTTTAAAATCTGTATACTACTGATAACAGCATTTTCCAATTTTTCACAAACTCACAAAAAGTCGAGAATAAGCAAATTAATTTCTCAAATTCCCTAATTTATTCCACCAATGAAAAGCCATGTAAATATTTTGGCAACATATATATAGAAAACAAAATAATAATTCAATAATATTATACAATTATTATTTATGATAATTGTATAAAATACTAATAATTTGTAGCCAATTTTTTTGGCTATAAATTTATTAGTATACTTCCAATTTACCAATTTTTATTCAATTGAAAATGAAAATGTATTTAATTTTTCTCTAATTAATATTTTTTACCCATAAAGCTATATTGCAGTTCATACCAGAAATGTATTTAATTAAATATAATTCCCTTTTCTTGATCCTTACCTTGACCTTGCTTTGACTTTAAAGTGATATAACTCAACTTTTGACCTAAGCCTATAACCCAAACCTATGACCCAAACCTATAACCCATATCAAATTCAAAAAGTTGTCATAATCTGCAGTGTGGAATTTGTTCATTTACCATATCCACTTGAAAATATCTCTTTTAAATCTGAACAGTTAATTGCATATTTAATATATAAATTCCTTTTGGGATAGTTTTCTATCACTAAGAATTATCAGAAATTAATTTTTAAAATATAATTTTTCTACTAAATAAGTTATTGTTATGAACAAGAAAAGTGAGAAAAATTGTCATGAATTAAATAAATAAATACTTTTTGGATTGTACTTCTGAAAGGGTAAATTAACAATTCCTCCTGTATATGTCAACTTCTTACCTTTGACCTCCAGAATCAGTACAACATCGTCCCTTTTTTCTTCCCCGTCTGGCCGTGCACCTACCTGTATCTCGCATGTACCTCATTCCTTAACATGAATGCCGTATTACTCTTAAATCAGTTAAAACCTGGACTTTTTTTTTGACTGTATGAATGCTTTAATTATGGCTGCGAAAATCATCTCAATAATAACGTTACAAGACAGAGACGCTCCAAATCAATCTTTTGATTTTACACCGCCTTCTGTTTCTTATCATCACCTTTAGACTCATCTCCCATATAAAAAATAAGTAAGATGTGAATTCATTTGGCATTTGTCAACCAGTGCTTTTTATGCGAACTTAACTCGTTGAATTAAAAGTTTGCTTTGATGAATGAACCATTTTATCAGCATTTTTATTTGTGTATATTGCACACACTTAAGATCACAAATTATAAGAATTTGTTTATGTACCCCTTTCAACCGCTTCAATTTACGTCATTGATTTGTGATTATTGTTGAAGGGCGGTTATGACTTGAAGTAAAACATGAACTAGTTCAGTCTTGTTTTATTAAAGATCGCAAATGACTTGCATTTCTCTCGGAGGCAATCGGTTAAATTTAATTCATCAAAGTGGTTGAGCCTGTGGTTCATTTGGAGTTGTGTGTTACTACTGAGTAGCTAGTATCAACCACACCCTATTGAAGATTATAATGAACCTCATACTCATCGCGGTAATTGATTTTCATAAAAACCTCACCAAAAATTGACCTAAAAAGTATTAGAATATTACCCCTCTTCAAAAAATATCCCCATTTACCGGTAATACTCCTACAGGTCTTTGTCTTGTGGCTAATGGGATGAGTTTAAAGCCTTAATTTTTGGTTCTGTTTTTTTTTTTTTTTCTCTAAATTTGGAAATTCGCAATTACCACATGTTTGTGCTCTGCTTTTATTTATTCTGAAAATATTCCAACATTTCTTAAAAAAGCATGGTTTTTTTTAGATTTTTTGTTTTGTATGAGCATAATGTACACAGGTTATATTCTATGTTATATATTTATAAAGACATTCCTACCGCCTACATACATGCGACTGAACAAAATTGGTTGAATTGGGATTGTCAATCTGGTATTGTAAATTTACATATGTAGACATGTGATCAGGCCTCTTATGTAGTAAAATTCTTAGTCCATTGGTCATTGGCCACTGACCATTGCTTATTTAAAATAAACTTGTTCTAGCAGAAGGTACAAGAGCCCATCATACTGTCATGAGGAACTTCGGTATACATGGTTGTGTGATGGCAATGCCTCTACAGAAATGATTTGCCTACTCTTTGCTTCATTCATTTTTAATGGCTGCCGAATGCTCAGTTTGAGGACAGCAAATAGTAATACAAATTTGCGGGCTGGAAGACAAATTTTCAAAATATTATTTGCAGTTTGACATGAAATCCTGGACTATCACTTTAAAACTTGTTTTGAACAATGGAAAAAGTATAAAAAAAATTGGAAGAACTTAACTTTATATTCCATAATTGAAAATAATTAATACGAATTATTCTACTTTTGACTTTTTGTTTGTTTTTATCTAAATCTGGTCATTTAACTTCTTGAAATTACATAAATATTTAATAATAGAAATAGAAATGTACCAATGATTTTATTGTTTTTCTTCTTTTAAAACAAGCTAGTTAATATTTTAATAAATTAAAAATAAAATATTATTTTTATTACGACAATTATGGGATATTTTTGGCATTATCTGTGTTTTTGTTTTCTGTTTATTAGATATAGCATTAATTAATAGTTTGCTGATTATAGATAATAGTTTGCTTTAAATGTCTTTAATGTTATTTAATTATAATATTCGGGTACCTTAGCTCCAAATTGCATTATCATGGTCTGATCACATGTTCTAGCACTCTTGAAAAAAATATAGACGAAAACTAAACCGATTCCTAATGCGTCCCATGTATGTTGAACGTGTAATGGACCTTTCTGTTAAGCCTGGCTCCTTTGATTCTGATGCTAAAGTCCCATAAATGACAGTGTGAAAACACGCATGTTTGTTGGACAACACGTGTGTTTGTAACACATGCGCATATTCCTGGCACTCTTCTGATTCGTCAGTTAAGTTTGACTGACACCCCAATGAAAGGTCCATTGTATGTCGCCTGTATTCCTCCCTTCCTTACGTAATCTCTTCATGCGATGTGTGTAATACATGCGAGGCATGTTTTCTCTTTCACGTTCCTCAAATATGCAGCTCTATAGAGATTTTACACTGGTAAGAAAACTCTTTTCGGTCCATATTTGGTCATTCGCTCTTCTTTTGTTATTCCTGTCTTGTTATGCATGCAAGCTTGCTCTGTTTTTTACGTCTGTTTCTTGTTATAGTTGTCTAAAATTACACCAAACGGCTCAACACCTTGCCACACAATAAACGCACTGTGTTCATTATTTTTGGGCTCTTTTTTTTTTGGGCGCATTTTGTGACCCATTTTAAAATGATTTCCCTTATCTTTGGGACATTTCGTAGATGTTTTTTAGTGATGTTTTGTAATTTTTTTATCTTTTATTAATGATTAAGGAATTGCTGCTTTTGTTGTGAACCATTATGCAAGAACTTTGCAGATTTGCTAATGAAAATTAATAATTAATAGTATAATTTTCCTAGGATGATATTATCTGGTGTATATGATTAGTGTCTATACAATTTTGATTATTACATTGAATAATATTCAATATGATAATCACAATATTAAAAATTATGAAATTTATTTGGTTTTCAAAAGCTATCTGCATACGTCTTGTGAATAAATACCTTTTTAAAAAAATTTACCAAATATTATGATTGGTTATTAATATTACGTCCAATTTTTGTAGTTGATTTAAGCATTGTTTTTATTTGATTCCTTTATGTATTGTAGATCCTTGGGTTTATAATGTTTTTCCTAGCTGCATGATGTATATGTGGTGTTGTTTATGAGCTGTATGTATTTTGTGGGATGTTGAAAAGGAATTGCTTGTAAGCAATGAAAGCAGTTTTAAAGAGAGTTTATATATTTAGGTGTATGCAAAGAAGAAAATATTAAAAAAAAATATTACAGTGAATTCAATTGAATGGATATGAAAAAAAGTATTTGAGACTAAAAATACAGGTAAGATGCTAGAAAAAATGTGATATGCCACATGTATAGAGGACAGAATAAAAGAAAATTGGATATTATTAAATTGAATATCTTAAAATACAAAATAACTATTATAATGATATTATGTATGCAAGTGAACCAGTGAATAATGAGAGAATACCACCTGTGTTTTTGTGCCTGTTTGCTCGCATATTACTCTCCAGGGTGGCGTTATATCAAACTGATTCAAATTAAATCAAATCATGGTTTATTGCAACAAAAACTTACATTGCAGACATATATTTCCCAAAGTATTTACTTTGATAATAACATGCAAACAAGTAAAAAAATGGCCAAAAAAAAAAAAAAAGTAGAAGAAAATAACTTGAATAACAGCATAGAATTGCATTCAGTATGAACAATCTGAATAACATTTTTTTGCTCAACTGACATTAAGACTCAGTCTGCATATTGAAATAGTTTGGTTTTTTTTAAATTTTATAATAGTTTGGACATACAAAACATTACAAAATATTACATGAAAAACATTGAAAAAAGGAAGATCAACATAGCATTCTCAGCTGGCCTCAAAATCAGTAGTCATATCTTTGTAACCATTCTCTATGAAAAAGAAAGGTTGAAGTTGTCAAAGCTTGGTGTAGTACTCTTTGTGATTTATGGTATATGACTTTGTGTGAATGGAATTTCATTGATAATGTCACAGAAAAGCCTAGATTGTGTTACAAATATGTTGAAACATGGTTGAAATGATACACATGTACTTGTGTGGGTGGTGGTATTATTGATGTATTTCAAATGTTACTGTATATTTAATGGAATTTTTATAAAGAGAAACATTGATAACTAGGTTGATATAAAAGTATTAGATTATTCTCTGCTGTTCGTATTCTGATTCTACACCTAAACTTTCGTGTTCAGCATCAAACATGAATAATTAATGATATGCCTATCAATCAAAAAAACTAGGTTATTTAGACCAGTAATTTAAATGGCGGCCATTTTCTAATTCATATCACACACACAATTTTTGAAGGATGCGTATGATTTGTGGTGAGAAAACGTTGGAGGTGGGGGTTAAGTTGTTCCTCTTAAGTTTTGTTTAATTTTACTATTGTCTCCTGTCCCATAAAATAAATCCTCATTAATTTTAATTTGTGTCCACACTATCAAAGTGTCTATTGTGACAAATCTGTGATTTGACTATATATGGACATGATAACATTACATCTTATCCATATATGATGTCATATCATATCCATATGGTGTTTGTCACATTGAACTTGTAAGTGTAGAAGGCCTTTAGTTTATGCTTATCATTCCTACTGGGATGTGCACCATATATTTGCCTCATCATCACATAGATTCACACTTGCACATAGAAAGTATATAAACAAGGTAGGTAAACTAAACGCTAACAGGTCACGCAGGCTTTTGGTAAACTAATTTAAATATATAATATCAATTTAAGTGAATGCAAGATATCATCACAAAGAATAAGGCACATTCAATCTTCTCATAATGTTTTATTTAATTTAAAATACGATTTCAGCAAACCACAATAATATTTATCTTCGAAATATATATAGGCCAGCATATTCGCACAAATTTAGCTTGGAGATGATGATGGTGATGATGTGTTTGTGTGTATTTGCGCCATCGTTCATGGCCGTCACGCACTTAGTCACTTTAATGGTTTGAATGCCCCAATGGCTTATTTGTTGAGCAACAAAACTGTAACAGGTGGCCTTAAGTTTCTTTTCAAAAAAGGGGCGAGACCTGCAACTATCCGTCATGCAGTCACATACTTTTGCTCAACCTCATTGCTTACTGTACTCAGAAGCCTGGTTCTCACAAGAGCCCTAGTATTCGGATCAGGAGCTAACCGTTAGCACCGGTGTGAGAACACCCGATCAGTTAGTACTAACCGTTAGCAGTATCCGGATACCGCTAACGGTTAGCAAGCATTATCAGTTAGTAAGTGAGCACGTTTCTATCATCAACCAATCATGGACGCGTTTATAATTTCCAGTTCCTTATTGGCTAGTGATTCGATCATCATATACTTGGTATCCGGATCGGGATTTTCTTGTATGGACAAACGGCTAACGGTTAGCAGGATCCGGATCCTGCTAACCGTTACCTGCCATGTGAGAACATATCCTTAATCTGCCAACACAAGCTTGGAGTGTTAGTCAGCCTTCTACACTAAAATACTATATGTTTGAAATTAAATGTGCATAAAAATTCTGATTAAATGAAATATTAAAGTACTTTAAAATATGTTAATCTCCAGTGCGACAACACTGTATGCTTTATTCCTCCATTATATTCAATGCTACGTAGACTGAATCGTCATGTTTACATGTATGAGATGTAATCATAGGTACTTAGAAAGCACTAAAGAATTGATTTAAGGAAGGCATTAAATTCATGATTATTATTAAGAATATTAATCTTTGTTATTAACTGTTGGGTCATAGGGGATTTAGTAGTACAGTATATATTCAATAGAATGTAGTAATGAAGTAGGAAAAAATATTTTCACAAATATATTGAACAGATGCATAAAATCCCAATAGATTTAGGAAAAAAAATAATAAAGAAAAGAATGTAAATTTGACCATGATATGTCTTCAATGACCCATTTAAAATGCGAAGATTTTAAAGAGAAAAAGAACTTTGACTAGTTACATAGACTGAAATATTCATTGATAATTTTTCTACAAATTTGTCTGATTACCGGCGAAAGTACTACTGCTTTAAATTAACTACTGGAGTTATAGAATATTTGAAAATTTGTAGGGAATTTCACAACATGTTTAACTTTGATTACCAGGAATAAATTGGCTCTAATGCTTTGAAAAAATACTGGAATTATAAAATATATTATAGGAACAGGCATGAAAGTTGAATAACAAAATTTAGTATCCCCAGTCAACTGTAGAGGAAATGTTTATATTTGAATTTAAAATGCAAGTAAGAAAGACAAAATCCTATGCGAATAAATTACAGAATTGAACGAGTAAATTGAACAAGATAAAATTTATCTTTGGTTTGCCACAAACTTAACACAAAAGCAGAAAATATGTATCTGTTTGGATTAAACTATTTGAGACGAGCTAAGAATGATAATTCCAATTTCGTCTTGTGGAACAACCATATGTCTGTATAAAAAGTATAATAATCATATAAAATGTAGATATATACAATGTAAAATGAGTGTGGTAGACGTGTACTTTACTATGTTCGTCACATATACTGTCCATCACAACCGCCGGTTTCCTGAAGGCGATGTAAATCGTAGCCGCGCTCTAATACAGTCTGTCATGAACTGGATTTGATACTATACAGAGTTTGATGCGAGAACTATTCGCTAATGGGTAGCAAAAGCATATTCAGGTGTCACTATTGTTTACGGCAGTCACAAATTGAGTAATGCGTTTTGTGGTAGTGCAAGGGTTTCGCAGATTAGATCACTTCACTATCGGTATGTTATGTTATTGAGATTAATCCGCCCAAACATCGAAAGACTGGCGTTCGCACAATTTACTTGTAGGCATGTTAATATAAATGGCTACCCCAATGTGATGATGTATTCCGTAGATTTAGTGTCACATGCAATATGAGTCTGGAGTTTTAAACGTTTTTGTTTGGTAATGTTGAATACGTGCTCCGAGGAGTCAATGCACTGTGTCCATTTCTCTGCAATCTATACAGGCTATAAAATATGAATAATAAGACTTTATTTACTGCATATCCTTTAAAAAGTGTTACATTGCTTTGCAGAAGTGTGCAAATTAAAACCAAACAATGCAAAAGCAAAAGATAATTTAATTTAAAACTAATGGTTAGCAATTTCAGGTATATTATACTCCAACATAAAATTTTGTATGAGTTTTAATTTGCTCATGTATGAACACCCATATATGAGCAAATCACGTAATTGTTGCAAGGAACTCGCAACTAGTTGAGCACGGATAGCTGAGAAATATTTGATGTTATATTCTCCATTGCTTCAAATTCATTTGATTTGCTATTCATGTGTAATCTATGCAGAATTATATCATACTGTTATTGCTTTTCCCCTCTCTCTCGGACAGAACGAACACCAATAGCTAGATAAATGACAGGCCCTCCCTATCGCCTTTTTTGTGTTTACGTTAAGTCAGAGGTGAAGTCTATCTAGTTTGATATGGCTTTGGACATTGTAATGGAATTTTGATGGAGTGTGTATTGCCACCATGTGTGTGGTAAAATCCATAAATGCCCTTCAAAATATAGGAATTTTATTCAAAGTTTACTGTCAATTGAAAACCAACACCAACATTTCCTACTAATGACTTTAATGTATTTGTTTTCACTATGTATTGTACCACACAGTATAATTAATGTATTTCAACTAAATACAAAGGCACAACTTTTTATGTGGTTGACATTAAATCATAAAGCCTCAGTTTGGAATGTTTATTTAAAAATTATTTGCATAGAACTGCTAGCAGAGTGTTTGTAGCTCTGGTAGGATACCAGCAAAATTTGTACTGCAAAAGTGTTGTTTTCTATGAGAATATCATACATGTAACAGTGCTGGTGGTGTTTGTAACTAGTGGCGTATCTATTGACATTGGGTTGATGCAGGGTAGGTGATGGTGTATCTAGGAGTATTGAAATGGAGAGGCTGATGGAGGGGGCAGGCAAAGGTAAAGTAGGGGTGCCAGTTGATGAGGTGCTGCTAACTAGCAAGAGAAGGGGGTGTAATAAGGTGATTTTTAACTACTTGAGTGTTGGAAATTGTCAGTGGGAGGTGAAGGGGTGGTAAATGGCTAAATGGGGTGGTGACCTCTTATTGGGAGGAGGGGAATGAGCCTGTACATCCTTTTCCCCTAGATATGCCACTGGGAAAATGGCAGAGTGAGAATGAAGTGAGATGTTTTTCTTTTTCTTGAGTTTTTTAGTGTTTTATGGGTGGGGTGTGTTCCAACATCACTGTGTGTATTTATGTGTGTGCATGTATGTAACAAATTTTCCAATGGGTTTTAAAAGATAGAGAGCTATGGGTACTAATATGACATAACAAGAAGAAAACATTTTGTATGCTCGAACTGTAGTAATATAGAATTGAGCTCTTAGATTTAACTTAAAATATTTGTATTTAAAAATCAAATTGGATATATACTTTGTTTAAAATTTACTTAATTTAATCTCTGGTCTTTAGACCAATCTTAAGGTTCCCCATTTAAATATATCTTTAAAAAATATGTATTGTTTCTTTAGATAAATGCATAGGTCATATGAGAAATGATTCAAAATTTATTTTTGTGTCGGTCAGATTTTTATATAGAACCATAACAGTTAGAATTTGTAATAGTATAAATAAATAGATCCTATTCAAATTGAATTCATGCAAAAACAATAATTAAATAACAGAGCAAAAAATGCTAGTGGTTACTAAGGCAGCAATATATTACTCAAAAGCATAATTTGTGATAGTAATTAAAAAAAAGCATAATTTGTGATAGTAATAAAAAAAAAAAAGAATAACCGTGACAGAAGCAAGAACCAGGAAACAAAGAGCAAATGACAAAAGTACAAATAATATCCAGAGATTACAAAGCAATAAAAAAATATATATCGGCAAGCATCTTTGTGGAAGTTTAAAGTGACCAGTTGTCACGCTAAAGCGGGAAGTATTGACTGATAACTAGTGCATGCCTCACGTAACATAACCCCATTTTGTGTTCCTTTTTACCATTTGGAGTTACGACTTCCACAAGCTGTAACCTACACCCGTAAATTTTTACACCCGGAAGCTTAGCTAACCCCATTATTATTTTTGTTGGTAATTAAATTTGAAGTATTCAAGATCACAGTGTATATATATATGTGTATTGTGTTTTGAATGCGCCTACATGTGCCGCCTAATTAACATAATGCCTAATTTATTATGCTTGTATTTATATTTATTAACTTTGATAAATATTTATTTTTGTATTTTTCAGATGGGGAATTTTTTCTGATATTCTTATTCTTGAATTATTTTACATTGTTTATGTGATTTTAGTGTCATTTTTTAGAATAAAATCTACATTTATAATATTTGTTTCATTTAATAATAAAATTGAATTTACATGTTTAATATTTGTTTCATTTAATATTAAAGTTATTATTTTAAAATATCAAATCATTATTTTAATATAATTTTGATGTATTTGGTGCTATACCACTAACAGCATATTGACATTTCACTGTTGAGTATTGGATTATATAATGAAGCCCATGCATGATAATTAGAAGGATCATTAACTTCATAATTATTGTTAAAATTAAGTTATTAATTGCACATCATAATTAATGGTAGATTTAGATTATTTACTAAAGATACAAAAATCACCAAATAAATATTATACATCCTTAATATTTATGTTTTGTATATTGCCTGATCACCATGCAGTAAATTTAATTAAATATATTTTCTATAAACCCTTATAATAGATATTTAAAATATAAATGTTATATATGCTATAACTGTGAGCTGAAGTTTTAAATTTAGATAATGTGTCTACATAAATAATACAATGGAAATCAGTTCGTGTTTAAAATTCTTAATAGAAAGCGATATTTAAATCGCTTGGAGAGACATGTAAGGCAATGGTGCCCCCTATCTTCATGAAAAATGGAATTACTCTATCTACATAATCTTGAAGATAACTTAGAATGAATAACTAGGTAACAAAGGAAATTCAGCCTAAGAGATTTAAGAATAATACTCATTCAGGTAGCAAACATAATATGTCTGGATTTTTATCGATCGTCATGATTGTCATTCTAGAAATACATAATAATACAGTGAAGATATTTCATAAATTCACATCCGTCTCAATTTTTCCAAGTAGTATTGTTATGGTTTATTAATATATTTTTCATTATTCATTTTTGTTATTCATGCAGTTTATAATTGATTTTTTAAAAATGTATTTTGTATCTCTTCTTATAGAACGCCCAGACCAATGCCACAAAATTTGGACCAGATAACTGCCCTCGCTTGGCAAAACGGGAAGCAGAGATTCTTCTGCCCGTTGACACCAGAAGAGCTATTGAAGTTGTGGCTCAGAATCTGCCTGAGGTATCATTGTTTTTGGTTGTTTGTAGTTTCATCCAACTGCCATGGGATTTGATAATAAATAGAATAAATATTAATAATAAGAATAAATATTCCTGGCATTTTCATTGATTAATCCAGGTATTCTGTGTTGGTTGACGGACACCAATTTCCCATCTTTTTCTATTCACTTTCTCTGCTCATGTTACTCATTAATTAGTATTTATTTAATATCATTTTGTATTTAGCTGCAGAAAATGTTTCCTATCTTATTTTACTTTGTAATGTACGTAAAACATAAAACATCAATAAAGGCACTGACGAAGATTTTACTTTATTTTCTTTCTTTGGGAAAGAAGTTTGGTATTATAATTCCATAGCCGCACTTAAATATAAAACAGCAATAAAATACCAAAGGTTTCCTAATTGTTTTTTTTTTTTTCAATCTATGAAAAGGACAATACAAACCCTTTTTTTTGGCATTATTGACTATCCATCAATGGTTTTTGCAGTTGTCTGTACATAATTCAAAGATACATAATAATGTATATAAGTATATTTCTATTGTATCTTAGGCTGGTCACCCAGCATACGAGTGTGTTTTGGATGAAGATGTTGTGAAGGCAGAAGTGACAGGTGATACCATCAGATGCACACCCAATGAGGTATGTCTCGATTTAAACCTGTTGTTCAGTACTTGGAATTCATTTTCCCTTGACAACATAAAAATAGATAACAGAAAATCATAATGAAAATCAGGCTGGGGAGTACATATAATCGTAACAATATTATATTTATAACAATATATTATAGTAATTCTATATAATAATAATAATGATATAATGATAATGATTAGGCTTATATAATTATTATTATTTTAATAATAAATAATAATAAGATAACTATAGTAGAATATAAAAGAAAAGAGAATTACTTTAGAGTATGATTTACCAGCCCACATTTATACATTAACACTCAACATTATAGGTTTATAGGTTAAAAAAATAAAGAGATGTTAGGTTAAGCCAGAATATATAATTATTTTCTAAACCATAAGCAAGTTTCCAAGCAGGCTTAGGCAATAAAACTAATATCCTGGTAAATATTATTCCTGCAGTGTATTTGTTGTTGTAATTGCCTGGTTTTCGCAAAGCAAACTTTAGAGATATGGTTTGCAATTTGATCATTCCTCCATTTCTTTTCTGTTAGTTTTTAGTCCTTGTCATAATAACTCACCTCTTATTGCTAAGTGCTATGTTGGTACATGTAAATCTTTTAATTGCATTTAATGTGATGCACAAGAATTCCACGAAATTATCGCACACAACAAACAACGGAGAAACCAATTTTGAAAGATGAATAATCGCAAAATGGACACAATTTCAAAGGTTATTGTGCAAGAAATGGAGATAAAACACATAATATATGAAATAGGAACATAGAACAAGGCCAAACAATAAATTGTTTTTGTTAAAATCAAACACAAAGGGAATAAATGCCGTTTTATAGATAATAGATAAAAAGAATTACGAACATCATAAATAATAATGGCACATTCATAATTTATAATAATTTTTTTTGTTTTTTTGTGGAAAGATAATAAATAAATACTAAATAAAACCGTGCCTTTGCCTTTCACATGATCATGTTGGTCATTGGATCAAAGACCTAGGGAACACAGTTGTACATAATTTTGTAGCCTGTATTCAGCTCATTACCATTTAAAATCATTCAAACACTTTACTACAGTAGGTACATATGTGGGGGTAGAGAGAACATAGAGATTGAAATGCAACATCTGTATTGCGAATATCTGTCCTACATGTAGGTGATGATCCTTTTTACAAGACAAATATACAAACAAGATGCTTTACACCACAGGTGGGAAAGTGCGGCCCCACCGTGATTTTTTTGCGGCCCTCGAAAATGAATTAAAAACCTTATGCGTGCGGCTCGCCAAGCAACATTTGCTAGAAAACACCTTGTTTTTACATCCCGACACAGATCAAATGTAAAAAGTAACATTAAAACTGAGAATAAAGTGGTGTTAACACAGCTGTGCTTGAAGGTTTTGGAAGCACACAGGAAACATCAAAGTTTGGGTGCAGCCCTTGGTGTTAAATCAAAAATTCACTTTGGCCCTCTGACCGATTTTAATGCCCACTGCTTTACACATACTAAACCTCAATATGAGGTTTAGGGAGTGGAGTTGCTTTGATCATGAGAAAAATCTTGCAACACTCACATGATTTGAACCCAGCACCCTGGAGTTGGAAGGCAAGCCACTTAACTACCACGCTATTCAAATCTACTTCCAACATACCCTCTCTGATGAAATATGGAAAACCTTAAAAATCAAATTAAAAAATTAATTCCCTCATTTGAAAAGATGTATAACTCATTAACCTCAAATTAAACACAGGCCAAAGCAATTTATTTTTTATTAGATTTACAAATGTTTTACTACTAAAATCCTTAAATAGGTTAGCCAATTTAAGGTTATATGCAAAGAAAATTTAAAAAAACATTCTTATTTGACAATCTATAATTTTCCTCCACTATACTGTTTTTTGTTTGTTTTTGTTTTTGTTTTTTTTGTTCATTTTTAGTTCCTATGCATGTAATGCAATAGGAACTATTGTAATCACTCTGTCACATTTCTTTTGTTTTTTATTGTGTGTAGTATGTGTGTGCGTATGTGTGTAGACATTTATGCAAATGCGCATGCGTCAAAGAAAAGTTTTCCGACATTTTGTTTTACATCGCGATGCGAAGTTCGATGTGGATTTTCTGCCGATCGGCAAGTCGGCATGCATGAAACTATTTTGGTTTTACGGCCAAAAAATCAACTGTGGCATAGGTATTTTGAAGAAGGCCTAAAATAAAACAAAAAGTTTTTAATACTTGCTGAAATACATGGTTTTTTCATTTAGATCTCCATTTTTCACTAACTCCATGCGACGTTTATTTCTGTTGTATGTAGTCCATAGTGCTATTAAACAACCAGAGTGTTGACAAGATGGCGCAGCAATGCAGAGTTATGTATGTGTACCATCCAAGATGGCCGTCGTAGTAAAGCGCCACCTTCAGGCTTAGTATACATATTATTACATATTAATAAGCCCTCTGACTGACTATTATTTCATTAATGATAATGAGTAATGGTAATAACAAATTATTAAACTATTGTAGCCAAAA